ACACTTTCTGGGCCGAGCGCTGCGGCTAGGATGGGCTAGGGGGCCGAGCGCTGCGGCCACGGGTTAGGATAAGTTAAGACACTTCCTGTCAGACCCATGTACAAAATTGATAGGAGGGGGGGGGGTCCAAAAATCGTATACTAGGACAGACCCCTGCCTTCTAGTTTTAATTTGCATCTACCCCTGATTACAGTGAAATAAGATTGGCTGTAAACAATCCAGTACGTACATACCGAGCACAAGGCGGTACATGTGTACATATTTTCAAAACACAAAATTTTCAGCTGTATGTATCGGAGATTTTGTTTTAATTGTAAAACAACCACAGTTATACATTTGATCTTGCATTGCAAACTCTAAATTATCATTTCTCAGACAAAATAAGAGACTAGTATATTGTAAGGAGTTAATATATGCGAAATTACTGATACGACAAAAGATCTCGTTTTCCTCCCGTTTTGATTTTACGAAAAAATCAAATATATTTTGTTACAAAGGAATTCAAAATTTTTTTTTCTTTTTTGATAGTTTTTAAATAGGAGGAGTTATAATGGAAAACATATAAGATCATTATATTGTATTTAGTATAATCAAGGTATAAGATGATATCGATATTATTTCAGCTGATAGGAATAAAAAGAAAATAATAATTACTGTGTAGTACACGAGGAAGTAAAAACGTGATAAGCTATTTTAAGTATCATTCATGAAAATTGCAGTGCACGGTGCGAACTGCAGAGGGACGGGGGTGGAGCAGCGAGAAGCCCCGCGAAATGGACTTTAAGCCGCACGAATTTACAAAGGGACCTCGGGCTCCGAGCTAGATAATAGCAATACAACAGAAAACTTCCAATTAAAAGTATATAGAAAGTTATCTTTTTATGTAAACTGGAATAGTTTTCGACAGTTTTAGAAATAAGTGATATTAAAAAATTACTGAAATTCAATTATTAGCTGAAATTAATAGATTTAAATAAGCTCTGATTTTTTGCATTGTGAAGTGTAATTTGATGATTTTTGGTTTTTCAATCTACTAAGTCCATAAGAAATTAAAAATCAACTGACTGAGCCAGAATTTCCGACTGAAAGCCCTTTCTGAAGGGCTTGAATCTCGGTTTTCGAGGTTCGAGTGGCTAGTCTGCAAGTTTTGCGAATTGGAGACAATCTCGCGGGGCTCATGGCGGCACCCCCTTTCTAGCTATGCAGGGTGCACATGATTGCAAAATAATCCGGAAATCTCCTTGAAAAAAAACCACAATTCAAAATTATCGAAGTTTAGATTGATAAAACCAGAAATCGGAACTTTTGTCCGGAGAATTATTAATCTTCAACGCTTGATTACGATATCTAATATGGGCACTTTCAAATTTCAATACTTAATTCCTAAATCAAAGTTATTTATGGCCAAGACATGAGGACTCTGAGGACCAGGAGATATCGGAAAGGAATTGAAATTAATCCGCAAAAAGTCTGCATAAGATGAAGATGAATGCTTTATCTCTTGAGATTCACAACACAAAAAGTTCTGACTTATCTTCCTTAAATTTTCTCGGACGATCAACTTTAAATCGGGCATTCAACTTTTTTTAAGGAGGGTCTCACTTAAAATATGTCTATGAAATTTTTGAATATTTTAACTTAACCATTTTTTCTCTAGATCTAGATTTTCAAGATGATGAACGACTACAGCTTCAGCTCTGACCTCTCCATGGATACGTCCTCATCCTGTCCTAATACTCCAGAGAAAGGTGACGGGAGGG